TAACTGACAGTCACCACTGATAAGCTACCACTAAATATTGTAGAAACTTAATTTGCTGTAAAGTTGCTTTGCAACGATTTGTATCGTGAAAAGCGCTATCGAATAAACTTGAATTTAATTGAATTATACATGTCTGATAATATATGGCTATATCTATCTAAAATTCAGGTCAACATAATTTGGTTGTTGGTTGCCATGGTTAAACTATACAAAAATCCAATGCATCTAGCGAAAAAATTGCCAAAGAAATGATACATTCTTATCAGCCTATTTATAGGACACACACATCCATGTCTTTACTTAAGTAGTGAAGGCAAGACAAGAACCTCAAGGGAAATGACTGGCTTTATTTGGGATTTGAAAATAGATGATATAAATGACATCTCACACCAGTAATCTAGATTTCTCAGAACGAGACATGAATAAAGTGGATTATATGACATAATGTTTCAAAACTGGGTGTATCTCTCGGTTTTTGCTCCCATGAGCATTGTGTTACTGTCGTCACAGACAAATAACAACTAAAACCCACAAACTGCGGATGTGACTCGGACCATGACATTGCACCTTAACTAAGGACAAGGAAGAGGTCATAAAAAGCCAAGCCCAAAGCCGCTATGTCTGCATTTACAACTTTATGACAAGAATTTACACTTTACCACAACCACACAGAGAGACATCATTACAATAACACTGTGCTACTAAATGGATCTCAAATACTTAATTTCCCTTCTGGGCATGTACAGTATCTGTTAGGATAGTCTTACCTTACTATTAATCAACTAGTAGAGCATAATGCTAGCAACACCAAAGTCAAGGGATTGAGTTCTAGGGAACACAAAAACTTTTACCCTGAATGCTAAATGCTAATGTCAGGGATTTACCCAATGAAGCCTACAATATCATATTTAGTATCATATTTGATACGGTCTTCAAAATGATCAATGTGATCAAAACTTTGCTGAAAAACCTGTTGCACCCGTCTACTACAGCTTTCTGTCATCTGATTGATAGTTTATACTTTTTTTATTAAGTAAAAGGCCTTTTAGTATAATTCTAAAAATGCCTGGACACCGTCAGGTCATATTTCAGCGAAATATTTAATGATTTTTAGAAAGTAATTATAGGAATAACTTTTAGATTGTTAGTAATATTTCAAGTTGAACATTTACTAGACCGAAGCAACTTTTTACTTCATTATCCATACATCACTTTTTGGAAAAAATCTTGTTCAAATCTATTTATAGTATACATCAGTCTTTTGAGAAACGTTTATTTGTTCATCTCTCAATCAAAATGTATTGCATTGCATTACATGTTTGCCCCCACAGTAGAAACTACAGAGCATTGATAATAAAACCAAGCATTTAAATATAATTTTACTAAGACATTACTGAGAAATACAGAGTGACAACTGATATTTATATGCATTCATGCAAGTAGTTTGATTCTTATAAAGATCTCAGTGATTTACATCACAAGCTATCAAAATTTCATCTTACTTGTTTGCCATTTAAATGACAGCTGCACTAAATTTCATATTTTGCCCTTTTGGGCCTCTGTTAAAATTTGTCATCGTCCATATTCACAATTTAATGTACTACATGAACCATAAAAGACTGATGCATCAAATATGACACAAACATAACACACACATGCAAACCTGTGTGAAAGTTTCATAAACTGTTCCGTCTGAAAAAAATTTTTATTTCATATGTCAGGGTTTACAGGGTTAGTACAGTACCTGACAAACTATGTATACCTGGTTTAGGCTACCCAAAAAGCACTTGTTTGAAGGTTAATCCGGTCTTTCATTAAAACTGACACAGACAAACACTAAAATTAGTTTCTTCGCATCATATAAAACTAACATTTCACTCTATTCAATGGTAGCGTTTCTGGACACTAACCTTTCACTGACCAGAACGTCGTAGTTAGGAAATCTTCTTACGTGAATGTTTTCAATTAACAAATCTTTCTCGTTCACCTCTTGAACTGAACTAGTTTCATGATTCAAGTTTCTGTACTTTTGAGGCGTAACGATGGCCTAGCTATAACCCGAGGAGAGGATCAGCTGACTATTCTCTTTTGTGAGTGTATTCACACCAGTCACTGAGATGAATCAAAAGCCCCACCACTATAAGAACAGAGGAATAGAGCGAGACTCGAACAGGTGTCAACGTGAAAAAATAAAAGAAATACTGAAGAAAAAAAGAAAATAACTGAAAGATAGTTTGCGGTTTAATATTCAGATTTCTTTTGGCTATAAATACGCAGTGCGCTGTCATAGACATTAAATAATACCGAATATCATTCTCCATGATTTGTGAATTCAGGTGACGCTGTCCTTCAGGCCAAAATCACGTTTTTTTTTTTTCGTAGCGACTCTTAATTTTATAATGCCTATAGCTCCAACAGTTGGACACTTAGAGGAATGAAACCGGTGTCATCTTCACCAGCTTGATCTGTGAATTTTTTCACAGCAAAGCTCTTGTCCGTAAACCCCTTGGTAAGTCCGCTAGTAAGGAATGTGAAAGAAAGGCGTTCTTCATGTTTAACGTCTATTACCAATAAACACGCAGACTGCTGGAATACAAAAACATTGTTTTAGGTCGAACTCAATTTGTGAAAACTTTCACAATCACATTTTATCACGTGGCAGTGTTTCTCTTTGCTCTGCCCCCCATTTTTTGTATAATAATGTCATATGGCGCTGTTCCAGTGAATAACGGTTTCCAATTCATTAGGTAAATGAGCATGTACACTTGTACACTTTGTTTGACAATAAAGTTTTGGTTGTTGTACCTTTCCTTGAGTACTTGGCTTCAATATTCAGATTTACGAAAGTTTCACATAGCTTTTGTCAGTTAACCCTTTCTTGATCCCTTAACTTAATTCTGATCTGAAAAATTTGACAGTGCAGTGTTGGTCAGTTAACCCTTCCCTGATTCATTTACATCACTAATTTGATTTGTCTCAGTTACTCAGGGAAGGATCAGCTGACCCATACTGAACTGTGAAATTTTTCACAGATCAGAATAGTGATGTACATGACTCAGGGACTGGTCAGCTGACCCGTAGTGAACTGTGACAGTTTCCACAGATCAGAATAGTGATGTTAGTGACAAGTTTCGCAGTATAGCTTTTGTCAGTTAACCCTTTCTTGATCCCTTAACTTAATTCTGATCTGAAAAATTTGACAGTGCAGTGTTGGTCAGTTAACCCTTCCCTGATTCATTTACATCACTATTTTGATTTGTGAAAACGTTCACAGTGCAGTTACGGTCAGATAACGGTTCCCTGAGTCAGTAACAACACTATTCTGATTTGTAAAAACGTTCACAGTTCACTACAGGTCAGCTGACCCTTCCCTGAGTCATGTACATCACTATTTTGACCTGTGAAAACTTTAGCAGTTCAGTACGGGTCAGCTGACCCTTCCCTGAGTCACTAACATCACTATTCTGATCTGTGAAAACTTTAGCAGTTCAGTACGGGTCAGCTGACCCTTCCTTTGGTTACTAACATCACTAATCTGATCTGTGAAAACCTTCACAGTTCAGTACGGGTCAGCTGACCCTTCCCTTGAACTGTGAAATTTTTCACAGATCAGAATGGTGATGTTACTGACTGAACCGTTATCTGACCATAACTGCACTGTGAACGTTTTCACAAATCAAAATAGTGATGTAAATGAATCAGGGAAGGGTTAACTGACAAAACACTGCACTGTCAAATTTTTCAGATCAGAATAGTTAAGTTAAGGGATCAAGAAAGGGTTAACTGACAAAAGCTATACTGCGAAACTTTCGCAAATCAGAATATTGAAGTCAAGCACTCAAGGAAAAGTACAACAACCAAAACTTTATTGTCAAACAACGTGTACAAGTGTATATGCTCATTTACCTAATGAATTGGAAACGCCCTTCTTTCACATTCCTTACTAGCGGACTTACCAAGGGGTTTACGGACAAGAGTTTTGCTGTGAAAAAAATTCACAGATCAAGCTGGTGAAGATGACACCGGTTTCATTCCTCTAAGTGTCCAACTTTTGGAGCTATAGGCATTATAAAATTAAGAGTCGCTACGAAAAAATGTGTATCGGCCCGAAGGACAGCGTCACCTGAATTCACAAATCATGGAGAATGATATTCGGTATTATTTGCATGTCTATGACAGCGCACTGCGTATTTATAGCCAAAAGAAATCTCAATATCAAACCGCAAACTATCTTGGGTCAGCTGACCCTTCCCTTGGTTACTAACATCACTAATCTGATATGTGAAAACTAGCAGTTCAGTACGGGTCAGCTGACCCTTCCCTGAGTCACTAACATCACTATTCTGATCTGTGAAAACTTTAGCAGTTCAGTACGGGTCAGCTGACCCTTCCCTGAGTCACTAACATCACTATTCTGATCTGTGAAAACTTT